TTTGACACGTCACGAACATGTTTAACACATCAGGAACATGTTTAACATGTCAGGAACATGTTTGACACGTCACGAACATGTTTGACACGTCAGGAACATGTTTAACATGTCAGGAACATGTTTGACACGTCACGAACATGTTTGACACGTCAGGAACATGTTTAACATGTCAGGAACACGTTTGACACGTCAGGACCAAGTTTAACATGTCAGGAACATGTTTAACACGTCAGGAACATGTTTGACACGTCAGAAAAATGTTTGACACATCAGGAACATGTTTAACATGTCAGGAACATGTTTGACACGTCAGGAACATGTCTGACATGTCAGGAACATGTTTAACATGTCAGGAACACGTTTGACACGTCAGGACCAAGTTTAACATGTCAGGAACATGTTTAACACGTCAGGAACATGTTTGACACGTCAGGAAAATGTTTGACACATCAGGAACATGTTTAACATGTCAGGAACATGTTTGACACGTCAGGAACATGTTTAACATGTCAGGAACATGTTAAACATCTCAGGAACATGTTTAACACGTCAGGAACATGTTGAACACGTCAGGAACATGTTTAACTTCTCAGGAACATGTTTAACATGTCAGGAACGTGTTAAACATGCTCCTGACATGTTTAACATGTTCCTGACGTCTTTAGCATGTCAGGAACATGTTTAATATGTCAGGAACATCTTTAACACGTCAGGAACATGTTTAATATGTCAGGAACATGTTTAACATGCCAGGAACATGTTTAACATGTCAGGAACATGTTTAACACATCAGGAACATGTTAAACATGTCAGGAACATGTTAAACACGTCAGGAACATGTTGAACACATCAGGAACATGTTTAGCATGTCGAACATGTCACTGGTCCATGTTTTGTGTCTCTCAGATAAGTGGTGACATCACAGTGACTGTGAGGCCATGTGATCGACACAACTACTACATTTGAGTTRATCAGAATCTTGAAACTTTGTTTTGGATGAAAGGTTTTTATAAACCAGTGTTATTTTGGAGTCAGGTGGTAATCAGAGCTGATCTGCCTGACAACAGCCGAGCAGCTGTAAATGATTTATGATTGGCTGTCAGACGTCACATGACACTGTGCTTCATATTTAATGATGTCTGGTGCTGAGCAGAGAGGTTCAGGTCAGGTGACGACTTCTCTTCTGAAATATAAATGAGATGTTCCACATGTTCTCCATGGTCCTGGAGCTGGGTTGTCTGGTCCACCTGTCCCTGGTAGGGTCTCTGGTAAAATCTCTGGTAGGGTCCCTGGTAGGGTCTCTGGTAGGGCCTCTGGTAGGGTCTCTGGTAAAATCTCTGGTAGGGTCTCTGGTAAAATCTCTGGTAGGGTACCTGGTAGGGTCTCTGGTCTCTGGTAGGGTCCCTGGTAGGGTCTCTGGTCTCTGGTAGGGTCTCTTAGGTGTGAGGTCTCTTCGTGAACCTCAGAAACTTCAGGATGAACTTACCTCGAGGGTTAAGATTAGTGGTGTTTTGCTATTGGACTTAGCACAATGTGTACGTGGTACCAGACCACCTTGGACTAATGAGGATGGACTTTGTAGTCAGACCATCAGAGTCTGATAAACCAGGTGAACCCAAACAAGAACTAAGGTAATGCCTTGTGAAAATCCTAGTCCTTCAGATCTTCATGACCAGAAGAGGTTTTCATGCCTCCCAGAAATACTTGGGGTCACGGAGTTCTAAAGGACCATGCTGTGGACCTCCACTGTGGACCCCCAGGTGACTGCAGGTGGAAACAGGTAGTGATGTTGAGGGCGGAGCTTGTTCTGTAGGATGACAGGCTCACAGAGTTCAGGTGAGGAGCTGCATCCTTTGGGTTTGGAGTAGACCCCTGTGGAGAAGACCCCAGGACAGAACCAGAACTCTCTAGTCCAGTCCAGACTGGTCCAGACAGGTCCAGACTGGTCCAGACTGGTCTACACTGGTCCAGACAGGTCCAGACTAACTAACCAGTGGTTTAATTAAAATGTCCTCAAAGAAAAATGGAAACATCAGAACCTTCAGCTCTCTGTCAGTGGTTCATCAGGTCAGTTGCCAAGAAATTACTGAGCCTTTATGTGCATCACCCCCCCCCCCCACCCCCCCACACACACACACACACACACACA